GATAAGGTGCCCGTGGAGTCAGTTAATGCTCTGAGAGTGCTCATCAGCCATCTGTTCAGTGACTTCCAAGCGTCTAGGAAGGAGAAGGGTCTGTGCAGTGCTTGGGACAGCTTTGCTCAGGAAGCCATATGCAACAAGGATACTAAAGCACAAAAATAAAAAAATATTTTAAAAAAACCCAAGAAGCCAAGTGAAAGCTAATGGGCTTTCACCCATTAAAAGTGAAAGTGCGACAAGTGATGTGGAGGGATGTTGACTTGCCCTGAACATTGCTTTAGATTAAAAGGCTTTATCTTTGATGCCGTTGAGTTTCTCCCCGCAGCACTACCACACGCCATCACTGCAGAAATCAAACTGTTCCCAGGCTTCAGTTTAATTATACATACACATCTGCCACAGAGGTGAACATCATTAAAAGTTCTAAGACTTAGCAATAGCTACATTAGTTGCTTATGATTTTTGAAAGTGTGAAGAACTTTTCCAGGAATCAGTACAAAATAGTGAGAATAATGAAGGTGGAACTATAGCCAAAAGCATCCACGTGGCAGCAGACTAATAATCAAAGGCTGGTTTTGTATTCCTGACATTATGGAATATGCCAAATTCAGGATTTTTATTGGAAAAAAAAAGGGAGAGGAAACAAATCAAGACTGTCTTGCAAATGCTCTAAGTCCTGTTTGATACGTTACTTTTAGAAAACTGAACTTTTCAACAACAAATCCTGGCTAAAGTATAAGACACATGATAATTGTAAGCATATTTTACAACAAAAGCATTCTTAAATTTGGATATAAGAAGGAATAGATACAATGAGTGTGATGTGATTTGTCTTTTGTTACAGGATATCTTCATCAAAAAGAAGAAGCACAATAAAGTGAAGCTGGAATTTACCTTGATCAGGGGAAAAAAGTGGTTTTTTCACTCTAATATATTTGAATCCAAAATCTTTTTTTCAATTCTCAGTGATTTTTTAGTAAAAGTCACGCCATAGAAACCATCACAGCTCTAATTTCCAGGGAAGCTCATTTTGGAAGGTGGTAAATACAACTTACAACGCAATGTAAAAAATGATTTTTCTAACACTGCTTTATGAGGAAATGTAATTCTGATTTTTAAAAAACATATGGTTGCTACTGTACCTCAGCTTACCTATTTGAAATTAAACAATTAAAATTTCAATATGTGTTGGCTGTACCTTATTACAATGTAAATAGCCAACATTGAATCAGAAGTGATTATACTGGGGAGACACTAATTTTGCAGAAGTAGATGAGGTTATGTATTTTACCTCGCGTGCTTACATGATACCACAGTGTTTTCCTGCCAACACATGGCTGAATGGTGGTGGTTGCTCTTTAATACAAGCCAGTAACCCCGCCCTCCTTTCCAAAACTAATGCAGGCCTGTACTGGCTGTCTTTAGAAGGAGTGTTAATAAAGGATTATTTAAAACTAGTAGGAAGATACAGGAGTCTTCAGAAAGTGGGCTACAGCTTATGTGGTGAAGCTACTACAAGAAGGGATGGCTGTCAGGCACATGGGTGAGCCAAAAGCCACTCGTGTTAAGGACAGGCTGCATGAAGGATTTATAGGTGGATCTAAGCTGACTTTCAGTATTTCAAACTTTAAAAGTGTATGTGGATATGGAGGTGAGGCGTGTTTATATGTTTATAATGTTTTCAGATACTGAGGTAAAGTCTCTGAAAGATACTCTATAAATACTCTTATCATAAATACTCTATACTCTTCTATAGAAGGCATAGGAAGATGGACGGTAGGGGTTTGGGACTTTGGGGAGGGAGAAGTAGAAATGTGGAAGTGGGATGAGGTTGTCAGACCTTATCCAGTATACGTGCCTAATTAGATGTGAGTTGATTAGAAGGCTGAGCAGCATTAGTATTATATTAGTACTCAACAGTTGAAAGCTGCACTCTTTGCAGGACAAATTGATTTATCCTGTTGATAAATCAGTATCAGTATATGGACTGATGCCAATCTGGTGATAGCTGTCATTCAGGTAGAATCCCACTGTCTCTGGTAGGGAATACTCACAGCGTGTAAGGGGCACCAGGAAGTCAAGGGAACATGGGCTGTTGTGAAGTCAAACTAAGTGAAAGTCCACTGCTTCTCACTGCCAGCTATAGAAGTGGCTGCAGAAGACCAGCACTGTTGAATATGCACTGAATACACATTATTACTATATATTCTTTGGGTGAGATTTTAAGCATCAGTTTTCTACATGTAGAGGATTTGGTCCCATACTTATGCAGAGCTATATTTAAAAGTGAAAATTAGAAGGGTGTGTGCAGTTTACACAGGAAAGTGCATTTTGTTTTTATGCCTCTTCATGTGGAGTTTCTGTTACACTTACAGTGTGCTATAGATGCATTATACTCTTGAAGTCATGAATTTGTAGCAATGGTTGCATGTGCTTAAATACCAGTGATAATTCTGGATGTTTGAAACATAACAATTATCCATAATTAGTCTCATATTGAATAACTGATAATGCCATATATTCTGTAAAAGTCAGTTTTGTTTAGATTGGGAAAAAGGATGTTTATTTCAGCTGAGAATGCAGATCTTATGTGAAGCAATGTTAAAATCTCCAAGAAATACATGAAAGATATAACGTATAGTTTGCTATATGGCACTAGGCCTTCACCTGTTTAGCCTAACACCTAGTCTTTGACAGAGGTGAGAGGCTATCTCATCTTACTTGAGGTTCAGGTGCAACAGCTGAATTTAAATCTGAAGAATGGATTTTAATATTAGTATTTAGGTTTGTTACCTTTAGAGATTTTTGCTGCTGTAACATGCTTTTGTACACATATGGATCTCCAGGGTTTTTTTTAATCTTTCTTTGGGTCTTTTACTTCTCTGGCATCCTATATATGTTAGTTTTTTTCAACATAATTTCATGCTGTGTGAATAAATATTGCCTTTTATTTGTTTTGAGTGTAGATGTTGTCATTTGTATGTTGCAGTCTGTGCCCATAACCTCCAAGCTAAATATAAGTCCACATTCTCTCTTAGTTTAGGGGAACAGTTGAATTCTTTGTAACTGAGGATTTAAAAAAAAAATCTTTCCTTGATGTATATGTCATTATTTATTTGATTTGTAAATACTTATTGTATTTTTAATTGATAGTAAATTTTTCCTGATAACTCCAGCATAACTTTTCGTTAGATGGAGACAGTAAATAAATAGGTAAAAAAATGACCTTTCAGTTTAACTGGGAGTAATTATTTTAGACAAGAAGTTGTGGGCAGTGCACCAGTACCAGTGGTAGAGAGTGTTGGCTCTACCAGTATTTTCTGAACAACAAATCAGGGTAGTAAGTTGATTTGGGCAAGTCTCAAGTCTTGTATTTAGCTTTGAATGGAAAAGTACTTTTTAGATTTCACTCTTATTAGCTGTACAGAAATATAACAGGTAGTGAAAAGGTAGCCATCTGCCATACAATAAGTTATTAAATAAGTTTTGGCTGCAGAATCTTTAATACTGAAAGTTATGTAGCCACGTCTATCAAGAATGGCTGTTACCTCAGCTTGAATTTGCAGATGGAAAGTAATCTGTCTATTTGTTAATATAGCAGTTTTTACACAGGCACCATAGAGTCAGTAAACATAAACTTCCCCAGGATTATTTTTTCCAATATACTTTTTTTCTTTTTAAAAGCACTATCAGCTTATAAATCACCATTACTGAACAACCAGTGTTTCACTACAAGTGGCTCAAGTACTTTTACACTGCAAGATATTTCAGTTGAAATTAATTCGGTATCATGGCAGAAAAAATTACCTCATTATCACAGAATTCTAGGAACCTTAAATATTATATACAATTAAAATTCCTGTTGTGATTTGTCTGTAGAAAGATATTATCCTAGTGCTCTCACGATTTTAATTTTCTTTCTAGACTCACCTTAGAAAAATAAATTATGAAGTCAGTACTACTCTTCCAGCTGAATTCATTTTCTAAATGAAAGAGCAGCCTTCCTATTAGATATCTCAGTTTAAACCCCCTTTCTGTTTCTGACAAAACAAATGAATTCTTTGTTATTAGCTTTTAATCTTACCTAGGAAGGTCCACTGAGGGTTTTTTTAACCTGCTATTAAACTGAGAATGAGTTTTTTAATGAAAGACATGCTGAAAGCTGGTATTTTGAAAAGTGTGTCTCAATATCCTTTAAAATGTTTCTTTTTATTTCATACTTGGTAAGGTTTTTAACATCATGCTGCATAAGATAAGAACAGTGTTTACAATGAGCATTTCAAATTATCTCATTTTATGAAAAAGACATATCCAGAGTTTTAGATGTTTATAGGCTACGATAGTTAAAATTCAGGAAAGTCACCAAAGCAAGTTATCAGTTGGTCAATAACTAAGGAAAAGGAGATAACTACTTGTGTAAAAGAGGTAACCATGTTTCACCACTTGCTAACTATGACCAAAAACCAGGACAGTATCAAAACAAGCAATCCTCCCAAGACTTGGCCACTTTATCTAGACTGATGAAACAGTTATTTTTCTCCAGGCTTTTCTTCTAAAAAAATCTCTTGTATTATTAGGTTTTGTTGATGGGATGTTCTGAATGCTTCTTCCTAAAGGTGCGACTGCATTTGACACATCAATACCAGGTCATTTGGTGTCTTATCCAATGTCCAGCAAGACATTTGGAAGTCCTTTTGCTTAGTTCTTTTAATTTCAACCTAATCCCATGCTGTTTGTAAAGTATGGCAATGATCTCAATATCTCCACTTGCATATATATATATATATGTATGTGTGTATATATGTATATATATATATTTCTATGTATTTTTTTCTTAGAAATTATCCCTTGTGTTTTGTGTTTTTACCCCTTGTGTGTAGAGAATTTTCATATGTACCTATATTATCTGCAGACCTGAATGAGAATGGGAGCATAGACACCACTTAGCCTCCACTCTTTATGCATCAGAAAAAGCTGCTAACATTATTTTTTGTTTATTTCAGGTTTCTTTTCTCCATGGAAAACTCCAAAGCCTGTAAGTTTGCTTTCACAATTATACGCATTGAGTTCATAAGATGACAGTCATTCAAAGCAAATTTCTGTAGACTTTCCTCTAACCCTCCTGTTCCCAGCTCATGAGACACTTCTCAGCAGTGCCCCTGGTGACACAGCATCAGGGGTGGCCTCTCTGGTAAGCTCTGAAGGTCTGTTGACTTAGAGTCTGCCAGCAGCGGTCTGGAGAAAGGAACACCTCAGTGTTAACGTGGTTGTCAAGAAACAGAAATGTAGTGGCTTAAGAATAAAGGGTCTGGAGGAGAAGACAGCAGAAGTCTGCAAATTCTTTGAAATTAATAACATGTACTTTTTCTGGTTTACAAGTGGCTTGAGTTTAACATCCTCAAAGTTATTGTTATTCTTTCTTGCACAGTAGATCTAGAGCTGCAAATAGTTACACTTCAAGTGAGAGTTTGGACTAGACAACTTACTGAGGCGCCTTCTAATCAACTTTTCTGTGTTTCTGTGATTTTGACATTAAAACCCAAGGTATAAATACTTTTCCTAGTGTAAGATTGCAAGCAATGATTATATATATTCTGTTGACACCACATTATACATTTTTTTGGAGTTGTGACAACATTCACAGTATTAAAAAAAAATCATAGGGTACTATTTTTGGTTGTCTGGTTTGTTTTATTTTTATGGGGTTTTTTGGAGGTTTTTTGTTTGTTTGTTTTGTTTTAATTTGTGTTTTTTTTGAGATTGTACAGGCCTTAAAGAGGGCTTAACTCTTATAAGAGGTGTGTAGAGGGAAACAGAGACCTGACTATGCCTGAAGGCTTCTAAGAGCCATAGGAATAACAATAGCAATGTCTTTTGAAGGAACTTACAGCTTTCTTATTGAGGGGCAGGCAAGGGAAGTATGTTGAATCTGAAGAACTTCACGTACTCTCATATTGGATCATGGCATACTTAATGTATACCAAAACAATTTTTGTAGCCTGTCAAATAGAAATAACACTAAATAACACTTAATTAATCAGCTGATAGAACTCCATCAGACTACTTCAGCTTGTAGTGCTTTTGCTGTAAAAGCCTAGGGGATGTATGCGATACACTGGAATAAGTATTGCATAAGCTGCTTTATTCATCTGTGTAGCAGGACATTTGTGAAAATAAATCAGACTATTCAGGGCTAGCTTGTTCTCACCAGTTTGCAGTTCCTGTCTGACTGGAGCATTCAACTTTTAATCTCAAGTACAAAGTGAGGAAATAGAGAACTTGGGGCTTACTTCTTAAGGATCCACTTTCAAAGACCTCCTATTGTCCATACTTAGCTTCTTTATGTACATGTCAAATATATAAATATCAGCATATTGATGATGATTTTCTGCACAGGTTTGTAATATAAACGTCATGCTTGAGGAGTACTTGCCAATAATCAGAATCTAAGCAAACAACCTGAGTGAGGCAGTTTTTCATGCAATGGTCTGAGGAAACCAGGGATCATGGAATAATATAATACCATTGTGTGCAGGTACTGTACATGAATGCAGGCTAACTGTTCACAGCTACTCTACTTTAGGGTACAAATGATTGACCAAGTTAAGGTCACATACATTCTTCTGTCTGTCACCACTTTTAACTAGAGAAATAGTCTGACATGAATTTCTAGTTGTCCAAGACATGAAGATTGAAAGCAAGTGCCCCTGCAGCACTGAGTGTCTGCAGACAGTCTGAAGCAGTAAGGCCAGCATAGGAGGTTTAGAAATCCTCCCCAGCACCACAGCACAGCCCTGTAGCTGTGTAACAGCAAAGGAAAACAGAGTAACCTGGGCTGACAGATAGTTCCTGTGGTTCCTATGTACAGAGTCCATATATTATGTATGTATGTATTATATATAATGATTAGTGCAAAATGACCAAAAGCAATGTCACCAAACCATTACCCAAACTTTATTTGATGCCCTGCACTCAATAACATGCCTATTCTCTTCCAAGAGTGTCTTCATCTGTGAGCTGGCATTATGATAACTCACAGAACACTATTAGAGACTATTTAACTAGTTGATATGGGTCTGGGAGATATAATTCCCCTTCTGTTTATCTGCTTATGTAGCTGGTTATGTTAGCAGTATTACCTGCAAGTAAGAATGTTTTGCTCAGTTTTTAGCTTCACACTCAAAGATACAGAACTAACCAGCAAACAAGAATTAGGCATATGGGACCTAGAAGGGTTTTGCCAACTGATCTGCAGTTTCCTGTCCTGTCTCCAGGGAAAAGTTTGCTCATCAAAGATAATTAAATTTTTCTTTCTCATTTTAAATCTTTCTTAAATATTTTAATGTTATTAGGTTTCACATTTTGGAAGAGGGGATCTATTTCGCCAACACTGTCCAAGAAATCAGGAAACTTTTACTTCTATATGGACAGGACCCCACATGTCTTTCTGCTTTATAGCAATAAGATAGATAGTTTGGTTTCACTGACTTGTATTGTGGATTTTTTTGATTCCTAAGTGAAGGTAAACCCCAAATAAATTTCTCCAGTAATTTCCGTGATCATAAGGAACTTGAATTGAGCTCAGTTCTCCTTTCCTGTTTAGACATAGGAGTCATAATCAGTTTTATTTCTGGAGACCTTTGAATTTACACTTCCTTAATGTAATTATATACTGAATATATGCCTATGCATACCAGACATAATTTGTTCAGGGCTATCAGAAGTAGTACTGGGACAGTCATGTGACTTACCACATAGTCTAATTTACACAAAATAGAGGATACATTTATCTTGGTATAAAGGGTATCTGAAGGTACATAAGGTACTTTCCTGTACCTAAGCTATTTCAGTGGCAGCTCAGGTATTTCCATATGTCACTGTGCTGCACAAGATCTACATACCTGTAGTACCCTCTTATATCAAATTCTAGTTGCCATCTTTTGTACCTTGCTGAAAATAAACATGTCTTCCTTGAACAACATTGCAAGTATTGAATACAGTGCTCCATATCTTCATCATTAGTACTTAACAGACTAATACTTTCATTTCTCAACTTAAATATCACATCCAAGACTTACTAGTGCATGAGAGTCATCTTGTGATTGACTGAGGTACCTGGATATTTCTTTTCCTCATTGTTCCAAATGAACCAGCCCTACTTAGTGCTGAAATTCTGACAGAAGCACAGCTATAATTATAACACTGTTCTGTAAAAGAATGAGATCCTCAGCAACTTAAAATGGCCAATATCCATAATCTGTTTATTCTTAAGTATGAACCTGAGAAGATCAGTTCTCCTGGGATATGCAGCATTGTACTTACTCAGCATGTTAGGCATCTGTAGTCCACACATGAACTGTTGTGATGCTGTTAATCATCAGAACAGAGAGCAAAGCCGACCTGCTGAGCTAAACAGCTTCTGAAACCAAGGAAGTAAAGACTAATGATAATCATAGAATTTGTAGACCAAGCATGCAATAAACTTGCAATCATCTTTGATAAGGCTCTGCTGATAAAACAATAGAAGTCAGTGGAATGTAGTTACAGTTCAGTTTGTTTCCAAGATGCATTTTTTGTGTAATTAACATTGTTGGGTTACATGTGAGAACACACTGTTCAGGAGGCTTTACCACCCTTGTCCTCAGGAGAAGTCAAATACTTATTTCCTGGGATAAAAGTTTGTGTTTTGTTTAACTTAACCGCTTCAAATAAGTTTGCTAATGCATTTTAATTAGTAGCCAACTTCTTCAAAAATTAAATATGCAGATCCTCAAGCCTTCTTTTGCACAGCCTGTCATATCTTCAAGCTTGATGTACTTGTGAGACTGCTGAAGTCTTGCAAAAAGCATGGATTGAGGTGTCTTTCATGCACAGACAATACACTGCTGTGTACTTCTTTCCTGTAAATGGCCTGGAAAAGTTGAAAGCTTTATCCTGTGCTTGAGAACTTGGTTGGATGACGCCAATTTAGTTTTTGATATAAGAAAGGAACAGTAAGAAACAGTAAGAAATTAAAAAGACTCTCTCAAACTAATGCTCACTTTTCTCTCACTGTGTTCTGTATTTTAGCATTGAACACTAGATGCTCAAGTACCTGCTGTAATAATTTTCTCTTTGGTTTTTATTTTCTTTTTGGTTTAGTTTGGGGGCTTTTCTATTAATTTTCAGTTGAAGCTTTAAATTCTGCTCACAGTTGCAGTAATCTACTTCCCCTGTGCAGGTAGCTATTTTCATGCATTCTCAGGAGATACAGCAGTAAGATCACTCAGTTGCTAACCAGTCCAGCCCTTCTTTGTTAAACACTTTGTCTCATTGTGGAAGTCACAGTTTTTGCAAACCTTCATCTTCATTCTCCGTATGTTTTTATTCCAGATGATGGAACGATGGGAGAATCAAGGCAGCCCTCAAACAAGTGTGTCTGCTCCAGCTATGCCACAGAATATTCCCTATCCACCCGCTCTTCACAGGAGTTCATTTCCTGATTCAACAGAGGCCTTTGATCCCCGAAAACCTGACCCGTATGAGCTGTATGAGAAATCAAGAGCTATTTATGAAAGTAGGCGTAAGTGAAAATCCTGCTGATCATTTAGTATAATGTGTCACTGTTGACATAATTTTCTGTAATTATCTTTTGTAATTTAAAGAAAGAAGCTCTAAACCCAGTAAACAGAGGCCATTATAAATGATTCAAAAACTCTACACTTACTTATTTTCCCAGCTCTTGCCTATATTCTGGTGTTTGACCTTCATAGGTGTTTTTTTCGTATATTTTTCTCTCCTTATTTTGACTGTTAAATCCTTAGTGAAGCACAGTATATGTGCCACAATGTTTTATTGTGCTATTTTTCATCATAGTTCACCAATATGAAGATGTGAATTTATCAAGGACAAAACAGTTTCACTTACTTTCTCTTGAAAGTGAAGTTTATTAAAGAAATTTCAAGTGTATTTGTTTTTATAATGTCTTTTTCAAGTTTTCACGTTGTCCTTGGTGGTTTGAAAGTAACCCCTACCACCAAGTACTATTTGAAAACCTATACAAAAGAGTACTGAGCCATCAAGATTTCCATCTTGATTTAATTTCTCATGCTTTTGAGGAATATATCATATATTTTTCACAACAAGGGCATTTATTCCTTTCTTAAAGAACATTTTAACTAAAAATGTTGTTCTAAGTTGTCTGGAATTTTTGTACTTACTTATTAGGATCATTTCTTAAAAATAGTTTATTATTTTACTGAAAGCTTTTTCATCATAGTCATTACTTGCACATGACACCTTTCAAATAATTTTATAAATTACTTGAGCCTATAGATCAAATTATGTTATAGATTACACATGAAATATTCCAGCTGATCCAGACTAGCCCATTAATATTATTTGAGCCCAGAGGTCTGGAATGTACAAATTTCTCCAGCATGCAAAGGGATAGTCTAAAGGAAATACATTATTGTCCCAAAGACTGCTTTGATGCCGTTCCTACTTGTCTTGGCCCTTATACATTAGTTACAGCATCAACATCTCTTCTTTGCTTTTTGTATTTCCAATCCACAGCAGAATGGAGGAACACTATGGTTCATTTTACATCAATTCTAAGGGAACTCTAATCTAGTGCCTAAGTTGCATCTCATATTCCCCACTTCTTTGCCACTGTGGCCAGGGCCACCATCTTCTGCCACCATGATCCTGTTATGGAAATAATTTCAGTAGAGACTGTCACCCTAAGACTCACTTTCCATAGTCCAAACTTTTTTTTCGGGGGGAGGGAGGAGGTAGGGCAGGGGAGGTGTTTGTGGTGTTTTATTTATTTATTTAATAGGTGCCTGAAATAAGGATCCCAAATTTAAATCTAAGTACTTAAATAAATTGCTGACTTTTTTGAGGAATACCAAGTATCTTATTCTCCCTAAATATGGATTTGAGAACATACTTTAGACCCCTTTAAAAAGGATTTAATCTTCAATTATAAACTGTTAGGCATAGGAACTAAGCTTTCCAGTGTATTTACAAATACTATGTAGCCCATGTTGGCTGGTATTTTAATATAATAAATATTGTGTCTTATCAGGATAGTAATGTAGTATATAATGACGATACTAGTGTAGTATCTTCCTCTGTTCCAGATGTTATTCTTGATTGGACAGGATTCTCAAGACAATGTACAAATAGAGACTATAATTTTTGAAATTTTGAAGAACTCTTTGAAGTATGGATCAGGATGCTGTGTGGAATGGGCCACATAGATTTGAAAGAAGTAGAACTCGCTTTGAACAAAGTTTGGAAATAGTTTTCAGACATCTCTCATCTTTCACTTTGTCTTGTGCATTAAGAGCTAGAGTAAAAAATAAAAAGATTTGCCTGAGCTGAAATGCTGTTCCCCAAAGTGCAAGGATTTTGTATATGTTAAAGGGAAAATAAACCATTCCATAGTTTCTATTTGGCTCATACCTCTGCTGAAAATATACTTGGCTTCACATACTACTTTAGGGAAAGGAAAACCCTTTGCAACTAATCACTTGCCATATGGATATCTTCTGGAGGTGAAGTAGTTTAGCAAAAATCTGTATTTTTCATTCAACATAGTCAGAACCATCTTCTGTTGTTAAAGCCATCAAGCCAAGAGTGCAGACTTGAAGCCCACTGGAATTGAAACTCCATTGAAACAAACATCTTTGTAAGACAATTAAGAAAAGGTCATCAGTGCCACGTATATAGATGAGATACACATTTATACAGCATCTTCTTTCATTTCGATCTCCAATATGAAAAGTTCTATATTAACAGAATTGCCTAAATATTAATGAAAACAAATAGGCTCGATCCATGTTTGCCCTCCATAAAACCATGGGAATATAGATCAAATGTCAGCTACAAAGATTGGCTTACACCCCACAAGGTTATATATTGCACCACAAGATATATTACACTATTCAATAAAGTAATGAAGTGATTCATTGTTATTCATGGGTCCCTTCTATGAGTTTTCTGAGCACTTCTTTGACCAATATGAACTCAAGTCTTATGTAATCTACTGTGTTCAGGAGCATATACTGCACCACAGGAAGAGCTTCTAACCTGTAGATTGGAGTTATGCTAAAGCCTGTGTTTGAATGGTATAATTGCATTTGAGTTCTCTCCAAGAGGTAACTGGAAATTGTGTACCAGCCTTTGTCAGCCAGCTACCTAGAATAATTAAAAATCATGAGGCTGCTAGGCCCAAAATAAGAAAGTGAGGGATAGAAAGCAAGACTGCAGTAATCACTCCTCCCAGACTTCCAACAGTGTCCCATCTTCCAGCTAATCCTGAAAATTTAAACTTGCTCTCTTACAGCTCTATCCCTTCAGCATTTTCTCAAAGCCTTGATTCCCAACCAGATCTTGTGTGTAATCATTCATATCCTTTAGTCATAAATAGCTGCCTGCGAAGACCTCTTTTCTCCCTGACATTTTTCTTTCATGAATGCCATAAGCACACGTCTTAGCAAATTCAATTTGTCAAGCCTTTGATTGCTTTTGTTCTCTACATAGTGCTACTGTTTTCTGAAAAAAGAAACAACAGGAAGGAAATCCATTACTGAGTCAAGCATCTGTCATCTAATTTGAGTATATAGGAGGGAGAGTTTCAAGACAATAAAGTTTCCTACCATATGGCACTGTCAGGTTGGTTATCTTTGGTAAGGGCATACCCTAAAAGTGCACAGGAAAAGTTCAGCTTCTTCATTTTTTAAGTACTTCTTATCTCAAAGCAAGTTTGTCTTATCTCCTGGCAAGACCTTCTTTTCATCTTCATCTTCTAAAAATAGGGCAAAGAAGTGAGCAATCATGACCTGGAAAATACAAAAAGGGTGCTAGATTTTTGTTTCTCTAACAGTTAATCTCTGTAACTAAACGGTTAATTTGTACTGCTGTAGCTCTGAATTTCCACAGATCCTTTAATTAGAGGGTCTCTCTGCAGTCAGCACTCACCAGGACCTCATCAAAGCCTCCTGCTCCCCGATCAGGGAATTAAGCAAGTTATGCATCACAGTGTAGTTCTGTGAGGAGAACAAGAGACATGACTCAAAGCAGAGCAAGAGCTAGACCTGAGAAGCCTGATTTACAGGGGTTTGCTCTAGCTCATCCCTACCTAACGAAAGCAGGAAAGAGGCTTCAAGCAGGAAGCCTCAATGAAAAAGGATGATTTTCATTCTGGAGGAAATGTTTTTCCACCTAAGGAACATGAAGAACCTGCAAGACCTCTGTGATAGGGAGATTTCAATTTTTAATGATTACATATGAATTATAAAGGACTACTGCTTCTGCATAGGAAACAGTTTTATAGAGACAATCAAATGATGCATTAGTACAAAACCAGAGTGCAACTCAATTCTGTAAGTCATAGCACCTGGAAAAGTTGTCACAAGTTAGCTGTTACCTGTCAGCTCCTACCTCCTAGCTGTCACCTGCCTCTGCTGTCACCTATGAACTGTGCTCAAAGCCAAAAAAGTAGCTAAAAAAGGAGCATACGGTGATTCCAAGGACTGAGGAAGATTACCACATCATCTAGAACAACTGCTTAAAAGCAAACAGAGGGAAATTGTTTTCTGCTTTCTTTCTTTCCCATGTCTCTCTGTCTCTGCTTTTCTTTTTTCTTGTTTTGTTTTTTTTCCTCTCTTCCCCCGTCTCCTCTTATTTCTTTTTTATGGTGAAGAGAAGCTACCTAAGTTTCTACTGTGACATTTGTTTCGCTAAACTCAGAAACAAAGGAGAAAACCTGCTCAAATAATTGGATACTTTTTCCTTTTTTCCATCCAAATATTAATTCTAGGCAAATCCTTTAACTCCTTTGTCCTTAAGAAAACTATGAGATTGTAAGTGACAGTGTGACTCTGCTGATAACTATGGAAGTTAGGTAAGAAGCTAGAAAATGGAATATCAAATCAGGAATTTACTATTAATGAAAAAAATTATGACTTGATATGCTGCAGTTGTTACAGCTGTGACTGGAGCTCCGTAGTTATCTTTGGGACAATTCATTCTCCTGAATTTTACATTTTTGCCTTTATAAATTCTCCTTACCCTCTCTTATATTTTATATTGAACTCTGTTTATTGTAAATTCACAGTTTATAACAAACTTTGTTCAGAGGCCCCTGTAGGCAGACATTAGTCAGACAGGAGACACAAAGCTGTTGGGAATCATAATGCCATCATATTTCTCTAGTTATAAAATGTATAAAAGAAATTTGATTTTATATTCCTCTAAGGAAAGCAGTAAAATAAAACATTTTTTACAGTGATTAGGTTACATTTATCCTTCAGTTAGTGTGGTATCCAAAACTGGTGATGTGACACAGAAATGCCAGTAGGAAGAATGAGAAGCTAGTGATAAGCTCTCATTAAAAGTGAAATCTGAACAATTACAGTTTCACCTTTAACTGGAAGCACAAAGATTACTTTCTTCAAAATCTCCCATGTTATTTTCTCCTCTGACCACAGTGTTGAGAATTTCCCAAGTCCCTTTCGAATCTATCAGCTGTTTTATGCACTGCAATTTTTTTTGCTGCCAGAGATTTAGACATGC